ATTTATTTTTGGGTGTGCAACACTATCTAGAATGGCCAGTCTGTAGAATCTGAAGAGGCGCTGGTGTCTGAACCAGAAAATGGAAGTCCTTCTGCTCTTTGGGGATCAGAGAGACACCTAGGACCTGGAAGTGGATACTCCGAGACCTCTGCAGAGTCCAGGACAGCTGTCCTCCAGCAGAGAGGAGTGGCTCAGCCACACGGGAGCCCTGCTGTGGCAGAGGGACAGAGCGCATCCAAGGGCAAAGCCAGGCTCAAGGAGGTACGTCACTCTTATAACCCTGTGCTTGAAACCTGTTTCTCTGGCATAGTATGTGGCAATTCACTATTGACCTTCTTTACTTTACAAATAAAATATCCAGATCAACTAAGCAGTTCACCTGAAAGATAATTGGATAAAGTATGTAATAAATTCAAGTTATCTGAAATAATTCACAGGTTTACCTGATGATAGGCTCTTCGGTGTAGCTCTAAGAGCTGCTCGACTTTATAAGTTTTGGAATAGTTATGACCTGTGTTTACACGGAAGCAGTTTAGAAAACAATGGAAATGATTGAATTTAATTGGGTTGACTTGGAAAAGTAGAACCCTAAACTTATCCAAATTGTCTTTGGCTAGAATATATTTATTTGCCTGGTAATGGCCAATTGAGTATCTTAAAGAAAAGAAGCGGAAAATATAGCGAGAGAGAACATGAGCTAAGTTAGTGAGACCACTGGCTCCCAGAAAGAGTGGCTGTTGGGGGCCCAGGGCCTCAACTCCTATATAGAAAGGGAAGAAGTGGTGGTTTTCAGAGAGGAAGTGGGTTTCCTAGAAAGTCTCCTGGGGCAAATGTAATGTTACTTGTTCTAGTAGCAAATTTAAACCCGGGTGAGTTAGCTTTACTCTCATTTGGGCTTGTATTGTGATAATCCTGGATGACTAATTTTTAGAAGCAGGAGGTTAGGTAGTCTTCAACTTGATTCATTCATTAACATTCAAAATAGCCGCCGTTTATTGAGCATTTTCTGCCTAGCAACTCAACCCCACCAAATCCTGATGCCAACACACTACAAGCTTCCAGGAGGCCTCGTTTTATTTATTACATAACAATTATTTTCCCATCATAGTAGATGAGTAACTTGAAATTCAGAGAGGCTAAATAACTTGTGCAAGGTTGTCCTGAAGGTAGGTGGCAGATCCAGAATCTGAGTCCAGGCTGTTTGGTGTGTGAGAGGGTGTCTGAGTGAGGCCCGGGCTGGTCTGTACATCAGTGACTCTGCTATGATGACACTGTCAGCTTGATTTACAATGTCCCGTTGGTCCCACAGAGAATTGGAGGACCATTATCTGAGATAATTCACAGGTTTTGCCTGTTTAAAATGACTATAGGGCCTTTGGTATAGCTCCAAAAGCTGCTTACCTTTATAAGTTTTGGAATAATTGTAACCTGTGTTTACATGGAAGCAGTTTCGAAAACCATAGAAATTGTCTTCTCTGGTTTTCTAACTGGAAATGGTTTCCAGGGCTATTCTCAATTCTTGTGGATGAGAATTTCCCCAGGAATGGACATTAATTTATACATTTACTGGGTATAAGTATCAGGCCCTGTTCTGGGTATGGAGGAGACAGTGTGCCTAAGACCGACTCAGCCCCTGCTCTTGGGGGAGAAAGATGACAGTCAAACCAGTCGGTTGGCAGAAGTGCCCGGGGCATGTGAGCATAAAGCAGAAGACTGAGGAGCTGCCCTGTCTGCTGTTACTAAGCTTATCTGGAATTTAGGCCAGGTCATGACGAGGCAATACCCTATATTCTGGCCTTCCTGCACTTCCTCTAGAGTTGAAATCAGCTGGCCATTTCTTTCCAAAGGTTATTGAAAGTCAAACTTTTTTTGTTTGTTTGTTTTTTGGAGACAAGGCCTTGCTCTGTTGCCCAGGCTGGAGTGCAGTGGCATGATCATAGCTCACTGCAGCCTTCAACTCCTGACTCAAGTGATCCTCCTGCCTCAGCCTCCCAAAGTTCTGGGATTACAGGCATGAGCCACCGCACCTGATTATAATTAAACATTTTTGTCTACAAATGAAAAGATTTTCCTTTAGTTTTTCTGTGTGTTTGATGAGCATCTGTAGCCCTCCTCTGAACCCCTTCCAGTCCTTTGCAGATCCTAATTAATCTGTCTTCCTAAGCCCCAATCTTGTGACCTGGCTGAAACTCAGGACACTTTGTTCCAGAACTTCCTTGGCTTCCTCCT